TCCTCACTGTACTCGTGGGTCGAAGGCACTAATGCCGGCCCACTAGATCATTTATCCTAGTTAGTATAGTGCTATGCTAGTATATGGCTGATTAGTAGATCTACATGATTATTTGTATTTGTTGGTTATGTGTTTATTTTTTATCTGTTACATATGTCGACATATTGTGGTTGGGTTAAGGTGGTCCTACTTTGTTCTGAAGGCCAAGAGACCCCGGGCGGTCCAGATAGGCTGTAGGCCCTGCGAGGTAGTCCAGTCATGCCGAAGGCCCGGAGAGCAGTCTAGATGGGCTGTAGGCCCTGTGAGGCGTTTCAGTCAGGCTGAAGACTCATATTTGCATGCTTTGTTTGTTATGTAGTATGTTGGTACTTTGGGGGAACTCATTACGCGTTGGTTTACAGTACTAGTTTATTGTTTTAGGTACTTCTGAGGATCGTGGGAAAACGAAAGCCTGATCGTGCACATCTTCCTATTTTTATTATATGGATTTTTTGGACACTCTGATATGACTTTACTTTTGAAACAGTGACTCTTTTTGTAAACAATGATGGTTAATGGTTGATTTTAAAATTTTAAATTTTTTGTGATTTTTGGAGTGTTACAATGACTCTGATATGATTTTTGGAGTGTTACAGCAAGGATAACGAGCCTTAGAATATTCAAGAGAGTGAAACAAAACATGTTGATATAGATAATGTTACATCGAATTCCCCTCCAAGGTTTACACATTTGGTCTCGTTGGAGGTTGAAATGCCATATATGTTGATCCGCTTCGACAACAACCACATGGTGGTTGGAATGGTGCCCAAACTCAATAACACCTATAGTTCGTAGAAGCAGTTGTACAACATGTCAGATTCAGATACTCACAAACGAGATGGTGTTTGGAAGGATGATAATGTAAATCATCATCTGTGAAATAAAAATAATAAAGGGAATGAATATGGGAGCTATAATAATCAAGGAAAGAGTTGTTCTTCTTTATGGAAATTGAAACCAAAACAAAGGTGCGTGTATTCAATGACTGAATAGTTCTTTTATACTAATGAATTTGGGAGGGTGAGGAGATATAATGTGAAAGGGTATGAAAGAGATATCGTTTCGATTGTAATGGGATAAGGTTCATGTAGATTTTGAATGGATATTTTATCTAAAAATGCTTAGACTATTGGGATATGAAAAAGTGTGGGTGGATAAAAGGTTTATGTGAGGATCATGGTGTTAATTTTTTAGGAGTTTAAGAAATTATGATGACCGCATTGGATATTTTGGTGATGAGATGCCATGTACTTTTCATTTTGATTATCCTTGGAGTTATGAGAGGGGAGATTATGAGGTATCCTTTCTATTTGGGATTCTTTTATGTTTTAAAAAGAATAAGTCATGAGTATGAACAATTCTTTCATGTTTTTGTCTCTCCCAAACATGAAATGACTATTATACCTTTACTATATAACATGAAATGACTATTATACATTTACTAAATAGTATATGTATCTTTTTTCTAATTTATTTATTTCTTTATTATTATAAAATTAAATAAAGATCCATAAATATACAACCATCTAAGATTAGGTACTACCACCACACTTGATGTCCCCCTCCTCAATCTCATCATATTCTTCTTCAAACCCCAGGCCCTCCACCATTTTAAAACAAAAAGTAGATCGCCAAAGCGGGTGACCAAGCCGACATGAAACCGAAACTTAAGTAGTTCTAGAGGATTAATTTATATCATTTTGTATCTTATTCAAAACATGTTTGGATGGGAACATTAATATTATTGCTTTTGATTTATGAACGAGATACTGACAAGGGTTATATAAAAGATAAGATTAAGAAGATTAGAAAATAACAAGGTTTAAAAATACAAGTGTGACGTTTTGGGTTAATTACGAAAAGATGGGTTTATATTGATATGAAAGCAATAAACAAGATATTTAAAATGTTTTTTTTTATCTCTAAAGAAATAAAAATGGTGGTGGTGGTGGTGGTGGTGGTGGTGAGAGTTTAGAGTTTCAAATGAATATGATGCTTGAAAATATGTCTCTATTATTATATAGTAGATAACCACATTTTTATCACCAATAATAATAAATATATAAATAGATAAATGGTAAAATATTATTAATGTTTTGCTTCATTTTGTTTGGCTATCAACTTGAAAGTTAGATAGCAATTTAGTCATTACTATTAATAGCGATTACAATAAGAAACGAAATAAAATAACTATAATAAGTGAAATTAAATATTTTCCCATCGTCTTCGTCATGTGGCTTCTACATTATGATTTCTTTAGAAATAAAAAAACATTTTTATATATTGTTTATTGCTTTCGTATCAATATAAACCCATATTTTCCTAATTAACCCAAATTTAGACGTCGCCCTTGTATTTTTAAACCTTGCTATTTTCATATAACCCTTGTTATTGTCTCGTTCATAAATCTAAAGCAATAACACTAATGTGCCGAAGGAAACATGTTTCGAATATGATACGAAATGATATGAATTAATCCTCTAAAACTACTCAAGATTGGAGATTCAGTTGTCGAGTATTATCTCAACAATGTTGAGAGTTACGATTAAAAAACAATTCACATTCGATGCACCATGTCAAAGAGGTGACACACTACGAATCCTGTTTGACTTTTCTTGATTTTTCTTAAATAGCAATGTACTTTTGGTTCTTCATTTCCTATATTAAAAATGCCAAATACTTTTACTTTATGAGTCTTATAAAGAACTAGAAGCCTATCATTGATCGCTTTTAATTCAAATCTCTCGATATGAATACCCAAAACTTTATCGGGGGATTTAACTCTTATAAAGGCGGTCCTTGAAAACTTTCCAACATACTATCTCTATCTCTTCCTCTTCAAAGCTCCAATGGGGGTGGTGGATGCTTTGGAAAAAAATGTGGCGCTGATCCCTATGGGAAGGTTATGACTCGAAGTCTAAAATCCATTGGGTATCGTGGGATAAATTCATAGCTTCAAAAGAAAAGAGTGACTCGATGTAGGGTCATTGCATGCACTTACATTGCACTAATTGTCAAATGATGGTGAGATTGAGGTTGGATTATTATTCTCTTTGGCGCCGGGTCATTGGTGGTATACATAATTTTACACAAAATTGATTAGATGTTAAGAAAATTAATTACTAGCATGCATGGGGAACAACATTGCTGGGACTTCCACTGATTAAAGAGGTTTAGGTTTGGATTCAACTACGTTCTCAATAAACTTATTGGATCATGCCATAATACGTAATTTTGGTAGGACGAATGATGGGGTGTTGTGAAATTCAAATTTTTATTTCTTGAGCCGTACATCTTGGAGAATAAGAAACAAATTCTTGGTTGCTGATAGAGTAACACCTAACAAGTTCGTTTGGGATTGGAGGGATGATCAGACTACATCGATTTTGTCCCAAGATTTGGATCAATTAGAATATGCCACTGGTTCGTTTATTCCCAATAATGATCCCAATGCATGTCGATATGATCTCACCTATGATGGTCAATATACTGTCGATGCCCTTCAGAGTAAATTGGACGAGTTTGCTCGTGATGTAATGGGCACTATAATTGAATGGTTGAAAGAAGTCCCATTGAAGGTTCCATGTTTTATATGGAGGGAAAAATAGGAATAATTTCATCCGCAACATCACTTGCAACCAGGGGCATCAAGGTCACACCACCATTTGCATGTACTATAATAATGCAATAGAATGTGCAAACCATATACTTATGGGGTGTGATTTTGCCAAAATTACGAGGGAATGGATTATGAGGTGGTGTGGTATCATCCGAGGCCTATTTTTGCAATGAATGAACTGCTAGACTTTGCGGCTAATTGGGGTCATTGCCATAAGAAGAGGAAGAGGAAGAGGCTTATGACTATTTGTTATGGCATGATGTGGTGCCTATTAGGCACGTAATGACAAAATCTTTAAGCAGGTCAAAACATCCCCAAGCATAATCGCCGATAATATACAATCATTGGTGTTTTTTTTGGCTAAAATTTTTTAGATAGATAAGGATCAATAAGTTAAATTCATGAAAAAGCTATAAAGAAAACTGAACCATTAGAAAGATCATTTAACTAGAGATCAAAGTTATTAGAATAATAAGGTAGCAATCATATTAAGTGATAAGATAGCTTTATCATAATTGGATATGATTTTATAATAATGTTATGTGTTGGCAGTGCAGCGTATTAATTTAATAAGATAAAAAAGATATTTGAGGGTAAAATTAATCAATCCATTTCACTGGTACTATATAACTAAAATTAATGACTTAATTTGACTCATTACCCTCTTAATAGGCTTATTTTGTAAGTGGATTTATTAATTAATATACTAATGTTCTTTCCACAGCAAGCCGGTAAACTTGACTCTTAAGATTACAAATTCGACATTACAATGGAAAAACATATTGCCATTTGAACCTACATGGCTACATCCCATAAAAATAAAGGAACATACCGGGAACGGGAAAAACTTCATAAAAATACCGTCTAAACTAAACGCTACGCGGCATAAACTTTAATTGTCACATATTAAAGCACATCAGGCAATGTTTCACGCAATAGAACTGCACATCTCACCTCAACTTTGCACAACAATGCACAACATTTCTTTGTCAAGTTTCATTTTTCTCATCATGAATTATAACATGTATTACATGCATGTGTTGGTAGTGTAAAGGTGACGTAACTAGCATCAATCTTGGTAGTTTGTTTTTTACCTTGTAAAAAGTCGAAAAAGAGAGTCATGAGGGTGGATATAACGAGTAGAATTGACCTGGTAATGCTTTTCTTGTTGCGTTAAAACTTGCTTTTATATGGTTTATAATGTGTGACTTGCAATGACTACCTTCATGTTTCCATGTGACAAGTACTCACAAGACATGTACATCTCCTTCATAGCCCCGACATCCTCTACATAAAGAGCTCAAAATAAGCATAATATATAGATACACAAACACAGAGTAAAATGTTTGAATATCTTCAAGTTATTAGAGAGGTTAATGTTGGAGACATGGCACAGGCACTTTTACCTACGTTTCCTATGACAGTGTACTATGGAAACGAAAGGGTGTTCAATGGTCGTGAATTTAAGGCATGTGATGTTGACATTGCTCCAAGGGTTTTCATTGGAGGCGGACCAAGCGAGTTGTACACGCTGATTATGATTGATCCAGATGCACCAGACCCAAATGATCGTCTCATGGTTCGTCTCTCTCTATAAACAATCAATTTAGCTATTGTTGATTTTCCGTGTCTTAAACACTTTATATGATCACAAACCAATGCATTTTTTTATTTTTTATTTAGTGTCACAATGTTCATCATATGTTTATTAACACTTAAGCAATGTGTTGTTTTTAGGATTGTGTCCAACATTCGTGGCGGGACTTCACATTCTCAAGGTAAAACAAGTAATTTTCGGATGAATATAAGTTGCGTCATGTTTCTATAAAAACCCCGATTGAATTACCGATGAGTTTTTTTTTTTTTTTTTTTTAGTTTCATATAATTAACTATTATGTATATTATAGGCACTGAAGTTGTACCATACGAGGCATCTAGTCCTGAAGTTGGTATCCATCCTAACATATTCGTTCTGTACAAGCAACAATCTCAACTTGATAATATTGAAACACTTGCATCTCGATTTTGCTTCAAAATTCGAGCTTTCGCAACCGAAAACAACCTTTGGAAATCCTGTTAGGGTTACTTGCTTTAACATGCAACAAACTAATAAAAGAAAGAGAGGAGAGTGATTAATGGCTCATTTCTTTGTTTCATATTATTCTATATGTGTACAAGTGCTCTTCACTTATTATCGTTGTAGCTGTTATGTGTATGTAATAATGAATTTGCATCTTAAATAAATAATATTATCAAGAATCTAAATGTGACAGTGAACCTTGCATGTTAGATAAGCTGGTGGCGCTCAATGTCGCAGCTAATACCCCTGTTGTTGCTACAGATGTTGTCACTCTCGCTATATCCTCAATTCCTCATGATAACTAGACAATCCAATGATTTTTCTTAGTTCTCAATAGGGCAATAGCGGTGACAACTTGTCGCCGCTAAGACTTTCCAAAAAATCTACGAGACTTTCACCCCATAATATCACTATCACCATTCGCCCCACTATTGCCACTAAAGGAGTCGCTGCTATTGTCTTGTTGCAACTAAGGTCACCATTGATTTCTCCGAATCACATTAACCCCTTTTCCTTTCTCTTTTCGTAATTATGAGCCACTAACATTACACTTTGTTGCCGCCAGCGACGATGATCTCCATATTCCCGACTCTTATGCCTCCAATTTGCTAACGTCACCAATGGCGGAGGCAATAGGGGGACTAGTAGGTGTGTTGCCCCGTAACCTTCTCTTATTTTTTATATTAGTTGTATTATACATGATTACTTTATTAGTAATAAACCCGATTTAAATGTTTTAAGCCCAAAAGAAATCCACTCATAAGCCCACCACCTTCTATACACTACAAGAAAAATATCCTTTACTGACGACATCTATGCCGACGACAAAGGTCGTCGGTAAAATATTAGCTATACCGACAACATGTTGTCGGTACAGGTTTCTGAAAACTTTGACCAACTATCTTTGACTTGAACTCTATTCTGACGACTTATAGTTGCCATAGATTAGGCAGGAACGAAAAACATTTTTGGCGGTCTACCGAAAACTTATGCCGACGATATGTCGTCGATATAGGTTACGGATTTTATAATTTCGATTTATTTATTTTCCTTTGTGCTGAAACAAAATAACGACGACGTTTTGTGGATATCTATCCCGACGACATGTCGTTGGAATAAGAGTTGGCGATCCGCGTGAAAAATCAAAATTGAGAAAGTTGAAACGATGTAGCTTTTTCTTACCCTATACTACGACATGTCGTCGGCATAGGGTTTAAACCTAACAGATCCTAGTCAATCGTCTTCATTTGCAGCACAACTGTGTTTTGTTTCTCTGTCGATCTCTCAACGAAGAATTATCCCTCCGACGATTCTCCTTTACCGTCGACGAGTTGGTATGCTTCTTAATTCTTCTTTTCTTATTTGTTACTGATAGCACAAGTTATTTACAATGATTTTGGGTGGGTTTTTTTTTCTCCGGTTGGCCTTCACAGTCCTTTACCACCATCGGCACCTACATCTCCTTCCAGTGACCTTATTCTGGTGTACATCGTCGGCCCTTCACCACCACTCATATCACCGGGGATTTTGAGGTAAAGTTTTGATTTCATTTTTTTTTCTGTTTTGGGAAGTTTTTGGGATATGTTATATAATTAACTTATGTTTATGCTGAAGTCTTAATTGATAAACCAGAATGTGTGTTTAGATGAAACCAGAATGATTTATACAGTTCTTGGGGGTATACTTGCAAAAGGATAACTGAACGTAATGTTGAAAAATTAATTTTATTAATTTCCAAAAATGGATTTTCTTCATTTTTGAGCACAAATTTTGGACTCTAAATATAACCAAAACGAGTTATTGATTATATATACGTGTTCTCCTCTGTGATATCTTCGTTTCGATATATCACTAGTCCAAAACGGATTAAAAATGAATGACAAATTACTTGTCAAAGTAGGGCAATTGGAAGAGAAAATAAAGGAGTTAAGTGAGTTTTAAAACTCATCCCACATTGGTGGGAGAAGGAAAAGGAAATTGGTTTATAACTACAAAGACTAGCTACCATTGTAAGACTTATTAGAACCAATGCTCTTTTTGGTGCGCACTGAACTTATGTGTGAGTGCGCGTCATGTAGGCACAAATTCACCACCGGTCGACCAGAAAAGTTCAAGGACCTTTTTGTATTTTTTTTCCTTTTGGTTAACAGTTACAAAAACGAATTAAGAGCTATTAATCATAGATTTCGGTTTTGATTTCTTGATTAATTTTCTTATTTAATTGTGACAGTTACGATTTCGTTTTAATTACATCAGTTACATTCCTTTTGGTTAACAGTTACAAAAACGAATTAAGAGTTATTAATCTTAGATTTCGGTTTTGATTTCTTGATTAGTTTTCTTATTTAATTGTGACACTTAGATTTCGTTTTAATTACATTGGTTACATTGGGTAGTATATATACAACGCCTATGTGACTGATTCGATACACCGAATGAAACGAAATCACTCTCTTCCTCTCTTACGCTTCTGCTTCATCTTTTCTCTCTTGCTGCAACCAAAGTATAATCCGGGCCAAGTGAGGGTTCAGACAATCTAGAAGAATTGCTTTCTACTATTGTATCATGGGAAACAAACACCCATATAGGGCGAATTTGTTTTAAGGAAACTGTGTTAAACACAGGCCTCAGTCAATAATTTTTAGGGTTTTGTTCTTTCTTACAGTTTTTGAGTTATATTTTCCTAACACGTAAGCCTTGAAAGAAGGTATGATAGTGTTTTCTTTTAACCTTTTTGATTCATAAGAATATTTCATCTGTTTCATAACAATGTATGCTTAAGGACTTGTTTATGCTCTCAATGCATTTTACATTCTACATATTAATAAAATAATAATAATAATAATGATGGTTTCCATTTCTTGTATTATAGTTTGATGAGGATTGGAAAACATGGAATAGCAACTTTGAGGTTGTTTATATACCTGAAAAAGAGTGGGGTATATGAGAGTTGTATATATCAATTGCAACATTTGTTGGATTAGGACTAGGTGAAGAGTTTAGTTATATCTGGATAATGATAACATAATATACTATGTTCCTTGATTTGATGCAACAAAGCTGAAGAGTTTAGTAGATGTGCAACTGATGGACTCTTTTTCTAATCCAATATTGTTAAAAGATTCAGAATTGTCCAAATTGACACCGGAGCCTGATTCAATCAACAAACCATTTTTCATGGTTGTAATGATTGTAATGGTTGTATTTTTTTCTTTTTTCTCTTTGAATAAAAGAATGAAGGCCTTACTGTAACATCCCGAGATTTTGCAGGTATTTCCGAATCCTCTCTTCTATTATTATTTTGTCATTCGTAGTCCCTCGGGTTAGAAGAGTCGACCCATGAGGAGCCTAATGGCTAAAGTTGCAACTTTGAGAACAAGATTAGTACGCTAAGTGTACATAAGGTACACTAAGCGTACTAGGCGCGCCCTAGTACGCTGGGCGTACACTTGTGTATGTTAGGCGTACTCGCATCAGATGGAAACCCTAATATTTAGGGTTTGAGTGCTATATAAACATCCTTATGAGCTCAAAACCCTCCATCATCTCAGCCTCTATAATTTTGAGTCGTTTTCCCCAAACCCTAACCCTTTTCTTGAGTGTGTGAGCTAAAAGTGTATGTTTTGAGTAGTTGGAGAAGAAGGTGTTGCATCAAGAAGTTGGAGAAGAAAGTCAAGCTTGTAGATCTGAGGTTTCCTTGTGCTCTAGAAGCTCCAGGAGGTAAAAATCTCCAACCTTTAAGCTTGTATGATATAGATCTTGCCATGCTAGCTTTATGAAACCATTTCTTGTCCCAAAAGTCCGAAGTTGGTGCATGTTATGTTTTGAAAGTGTCCCAAAAGACCCTAGAAAGGGTCCTAAGTGATAACAATGATGTCCCAAGGGCTGAAAGTGTCCCATGCATGTAGTAGAAAGGTCTTAATGGGTTAAGATGTAACGCCCCGATTCTAGAGTATTAATTTATGAATATAAATTCTCATGATTTCAAGGTCTACTCGACGAGTTGGTTGCCTGACTCGTCGAGTAGCAGCGGGTTGTCCACGTGTTTAAGTGACCTACTCGCCGCGTCCAAGGAGGGACTCGATGAGTAGGAGCTGGAGGATGAAACCCTAATTTCGAGGTTTTGCACCATATTTAAAGGATCATTGGCCTCCTCAGCCTCCCCTTGTAGCTTCTGATAGTCCATAAACCCTAGTTCGTGTAAGTGTGCTCCATTGGTGTATTTTTTAAGCTTTGGAAGAGGATTCTTGGTGAGAAGAGCTTGGTGAACAAGTGTCTAGAAGCAAGGAACGTGTGGGATCTGAAATCTACCTCAGTTGGCATCCTTTGGAAGGTATCAAGTCGTTATCTTGACCTCATTTCATTCTAGGTCTCTTTTGGGTGGATTTTAGGAAGCTTTTCTTGTGTTTGAGCTAAGATCTGAAGTTGCAACTTCAGATCTGAGCTCTCTTTGGTCTCTAAGTCCATAATGTTGTCAGCTTTGGCAAGTATGAACCTCCCCTCAAGTGTAAGACTCCTTTACAAGCTTGGTTTGTCATTTTAAGACTTTAGAGCTTTGCATGCACGTAAAGTTTACAACTTTACGTGATAAACATGCCTTGGGAAGCTGGTTCTACAATATGGAACCATAGCATGGCTTAAAAAGCATCTGTATGGATGAAGGACTGAAGGGACTCGACGAGTTGCATGGTCAACTCGGCGAGTCCGATGAATATTGTCTTGGACTCGACGAGTCAGTAGGGTGACTTGGCGAGTCAGTTAGGGTTTTCCCGGTTTTTGGAACGCATGAACTTGGCGAGTTGCAAGGGAAACTCGACGAGTTGGCCAAGAAGTTTACGGCCGCAAACATTAGGAACTCGACGAGTCACTCTAGTGACTCGACGAGTTGGCGAGTTATGCAAGGAACTCGGCGAGTGGATGGTTGTACTCGACGAGTTGAGGTCAACATGGATTGTTGACCTTGACCATTGACTTGGACTTTGACCAATGGTTGACTAGTGGACTTCTGGGGCATTTTGGGAAATTGAAGAGTTATGAGTAGTGTTCTATGGAATATAGGTGGCGGAGTTTGTGGCGGTGACCCAAGAGTTTGAGCTTATCCTTCGAGTCGACGGTTGCGAGGTGAGTTATCCTCATTGTCCTCAAGGGTCTAAGGCACCAAGGCCGACCCTTTGATTTGCTATTTGGATTGTTACTGTTGTGATATGATAGCTTGGTATCCTGGTAGATAGGATGGTTGTATGCTAGTATGATTTGTTAGATCGGTATCCTGGTAGATAGGATGGTTGTATGCTAGTGTAATATGTTAGATCGGTATCCTGGTAGATAGGATGGTTGTATGCTAGTGTGATCTGTTAGATCGGTATCCTGGTAGATCGGATGTGGTTATGCTTAGTGACCTATAGTTGGTCTGAATGTCTGTATGCTAATAGGGGATTACCTGATATATGTGCATGTTAACACGCTGTCGCGCACGTATTAAACAAATAAATTTATCACTGCTTGGAATGTACTAAAAAGATAGCACAGGGAAGCAGGGTCGAATCCTCAGGGACACGACCTAAAAGTCAATGCCTTTTTGCATCAGGCACATCTAGTCAAGAAACATAATATAAAAGGGGGATTTTGAATTAAACTAAAAACTAAAAATGCAGTGATATTAAAATTAAACGAAAATCAATATTAAAAACGATTCCAGTTCTGCTGCAACTTTCCTAATCTTGCAACTGATCCAGATCTGATTATTTGAGATATGTTCTATCTAAGCTGGTACTGAGAAAAACTAACAAGCTCTATTAATTTCTCTTTTACCTAAACTACTTAATCAAAACAAGCTCTTCAATTAACCCTAACTTTTTACTATTCAATTAAATAAGCTCTTAATTAAATCAGAAAAATTGCATTAAGTTCTTTGTAAAATTCCCAGCAATACCCAATACTTCTCACAAGCTCGGAAGCGTAAAGATATGATTTTTACAAATTATACCAGAGTTAAATCCCAAAACGGAACCAATCTGATACTTGTTACTTTTACCAATTTATTAGAACAATTACGGATTCTATTAATTGATTAACTAGAATGATAAAACCCTAGCTAGGTGATCAGACTAACAAGAATTCAAATCAAACATTCATTAAGCTCAAAACTGAAGAATCTAGATAGAAACACAAATCAAAAACCAGATCTAATGATCAATCACATGAAAAGTACTTGTCTTTGCAAAACTGAAAACTAGGGTTTAGCCAGACATGGCTAAAATCTGATCTAAACAAATGAAAAGAGACATTAAACTACTAAATCTTACTAAACTAAACGTAGGAGATGATCCACAGTCTTCAGATCTTCAGAAATTGTTGAAATCAGAGAAGAAACGCCTCCAAAATCGTATTTTCGTCTTCTGGAACCTCTGGAATCGCCAACTTTGGTTACTGGAAGGTTATAAGGTCTATTTATACGTCCAACAGCAAAAACGACGTACCTGCGATCGCATGTACACAACCTGCGATCGCAGGTTTTGAAGTAAACGTGTCCCGTGCCTTTTTAATGAAGTAGGATGCTATTCTGGAACTTTTTGGCCAACCTGCGATCGCATGTACACAACCTGCGATCGCAGGTTTTCATTTTTCACTTCCGGATGAATTTTTGGCACAAAAAAAACCTCGAATCCAAGCTGCGACCAAACCTGCGATCGCAAAAGGGCCCCATGCGATAGCATGAAGGCAACCTGTGATCGCAGGTTGTGCCTAAGACATCCGAAATTTCATCTACTTTTTAGATCATTTTGAATCGCGTCAATCGGAGTTACGGTTCTCGAGATATGGTCAAAATACTGACAGGGGGTCAAAGCTGCCAGCAACATCCTTTAACTTTAGATTGCATATTCTATCTTCGTGTGATCAATTTAATCGAATGTTTCTTGACCAAAGCATCTTGCAAACATTCCACAACATACTCCATAAGTTCCAAGCTCCATTTTAAGCTCCAAACGCGCATCTAACTGCTCCCAAAGCACTGCTCCACTCAAACTATCTGAAATTGACATAGAAACATGAGCAGTACAGGAATTCTTACGAATGACATGAGTTGAACATTATTTAAATAAATGACATGAAAATGTACAAAATATGATCCTAAAATGATAATAAAAACTACCCTATAAGATGCATAAAATGGCATCTAACAGTGCACATGATTGATTGGTGGTTGAGGGTATTCCATCCCGAGGATGATAGGACCCTAGTATGTTGTCCTTATAGACTGTTATTTGATTACATGATATATGTGCACATGATTGATTGGTGGTTGAGGGTATTCCATCCCGAGGATGATAGGACCCTAGTATGTTGTCCTTATAGACTGTTATTTGATTATCTAATATAGGTGCACATGTTTGATTGGTTATGTTGGCATTCCAACCTGATGGTCGAGGGCCTGGGGTATTCCAACCCGATGGTTGATTGGACCCATTGTATGTTGGCATTCCAACCCGATGGTTGAGGTCCTGGGGTATTCCATCCCGATGGATGATTGGACCCATAGTATCTATCATATCTATGTATTGTATGTGGGCATTCCAACCCGATGGTTGTGGGCCGAGAGTATTCCATCCCAATGATGATTTGGACTCGTAGTATGTTGGCATTCCAACCCGATGGTTGAGGGCCTGGGGTATTCCATCCCGATGGATGATTGGACCCATCGTATGTTGTTTGTTTGTATGTGTATTGTCGTATGTATGGGTATTTTGGGGGTAACTCACTAAGCTTTCGGGCTTACAGTTTCAGCTTATTGTTTCAGGTTCAGTGGATGGACGCGGGAAGGCGAAGGTGTGACCGTACACTTCGTCGATGATGATTATGATTTCTGGGAACTCTGATGTTTAAAATATTTTGAAAACAAATTGTAATAATTGAATGGTTTTAAATGATTTAAAAAGTTTTAAATTGGCTCGAATTTTATGGATGTTACATAAGACCATGTATTACGAACTTTATGGACATCCAAAGTCTTAAAGTTCAAGACTTTATGGTTCTAAGGCACATTTGGTCAATGGATCTGGAGTTTGGGCTTAAGTGCTTAAGCCATTAAGCACTTATTAGGGTTTTGGCAAAACCTTGCATACGCCCCGAGTAATTTTGTACGCTTAGCGTACTGGGTCAACCACCCCGATGGTGGTCAACGCAATACAGAAGTACGCCCAGCGTACCAGAGGAGTACGCCCCGCGTACGCCCTGTGTTGGGCTTTTGATGAATTGGGCTTCGGTATTGAGCCGCCTTTGGACTAGTTGGACTTGGGCCTTGCTGGACGTTCTGAATAATTGAGTTTTGGGCCAGTTTTGATAATGGATCCTAGAATAATGCCCAATTAGGGAGTTGGGCCTAATTGGGCCATTGATGGGCTTTGGATATATGGATTTTTAAGATCATGGATTTGGCATTGGGCTTTGGCCCAAATTAAAAAAAAGCAATAGTGTACAATTACTCTATGCGGGACCCTTGGGCAATGTTGAGATCCTAATTATTGACTTAGTATTCGTTATTTTGGATAGTTCGGGATTTTCGGTGAGACAGCGGTCGGAGAATTTCAGTCCAGTTCTACACTACTTCTGAGGTGAGTTCTCCTCACTATATCAACGGGGTCTAAGGCACCAATGTCGGCCCTTTTTTCGGATTTGTATCCGGGTTATTGCATGATATGCTTATTGATTTACACCCTGGTAGTTAGGATGGTGATATGCTTAGTGACCTGGTTAGGTCGGTATCCTGGTATATAGGATGATGTTATGTTAGTGACCAGTTAGGTTTGTATCCTGGTTATAGGATGTTGCTATGATTAGTGATTTGTTAGATTGGTTTGACTGTTATATATGCTAGCGTATGATATGTATGTGCACATGTTTGTTTGATTGGAGGTTGGGTTGAGGCGGTCCTGCTTTGTGCTGAAGGCCAACATACCCAGGGAGGGCCGAATAGACTGAAGGCCCTGCGAGGCGGTCCAGTCAGGATGAAGGCCCGGCGAGCAGTCCAGATAGGTTGTAGGCCCTGCGAGGCGGTCCAGACGTGCCGAAGGCTCGGAGAGCGGTCCAGATAGGCTGAAGGCTTGTGAGGCGGTCTAGTCAGGCTGAAGGCTCATTATACATGTTGTTTGCTATATGTTATTGATATGTTTTATGCGTTGGTATTTTAAGGGTAACTCACTAAGCCTTCGCGCTTACGTTTATCGATTATTGTTTCAGGTACTTCTGATGATCGCGGGAAGGTGAAGGCGTGATCGTGCACCTCCTTGTATTTTTATGATTTGATTATGGGATACTCTGACACTAAACCATTTTGAAAACAAGTTTTGTAATATATAGGATGATGTTATGTTAGTGACCAGTTAGGTTTGTATCCTGGTTATAGGATGTTGCTATGATTAGTGATTTGTTAGATTGGTTTGACTGTTATATATGCTAGCGTATGATATGTATGTGCACATGTTTGTTTGATTGGAGGTTGGGTTGAGGCGGTCCTGCTTTGTGCTGAAGGCCAACATACCCAGGGAGGGCCGAATAGACTGAAGGCCCTGCGAGGCGGTCCAGTCAGGATGAAGGCCCGGCGAGCAGTCCAGATAGGTTGTAGGCCCTGCGAGGCGGTCCAGACGTGCCGAAGGCTCGGAGAGCGGTCCAGATAGGCTGAAGGCTTGCGAGGCGGTCTAGTCAGGCTGAAGGCTCATTATACATGCTGTTTGCTATATGTTATTGATATGTTTTATGCGTTGGTATTTTGAGGGTAACTCACTAAGCCTTCGCGCTTACGTTTATCGATTATTGTTTCAGGTACTTCTGATGATACCGGGAAGGTGAAGGCGTGATCGTGCACCTCCTTGTATTTTTATGATTTGATTATGGGATACTCTGACACTAAACCATTTTGAAAACAAGTTTTGTAATAATTATTGGTTTTGAACTATTTTAAAAAGTTTAAAGTTGGCATGATTTTTATGTATGTTACACTTACTATGATCCATATCTGTAAAGCTAATATTTTTTATGATGTTTTTTGGTTTTTTTCTTGTAGAATCAGTTTTTCATATCAGGCCTCTCACATGATGACATCATAGAGAATCGCGTCTTGGAAGCTCTGTACAGACGTATACTGCGTGCACATAAAGAGGAAAAGTGCTTCAAAGTTATTGTTGTTATACCACTCTTACCAGGAGGATTCCAGGTAAAAGCATGGTCTTCAATATGAGAGTAAATGATAATTTTACCCTTTTATGTACATGAAGTTAAGAATAAAGAGTAATGAATAAACAAACAGGGGCGTATGGATGATGGTGGGGCAACAACTGTTAGAGCTATAATGCATTGGCAGTATCGATCTATTTCAAGAGAAGAAAATTCAATACTAGAGAAGCTCAACTCAGTGCTTGGTCCTAAAACAGATGATTATATATCATTTTATGGTCTTAGGACATATGGAAGATTGGGTGATGATGGCCCACTTGTCACAAGTTAGGTAATGCATTGCATTCTTAGTGTTTCCTAATAATGTATTTATATGACTTTTAACAATTTATGATTGAAGGATACGTAGTTGCAGTGATAACTTATTAATTAATGAATTCTTCTTCAGGTGTATGTGCATAGCAAAGTGATGATAGTTGATGATCGTATCACCTTAATTGGATCATCCAACATAAATGACAGGAGTTTGCTTGGTCATAGGGACTCGGAGGTACAAATCTAAGTCCTTTTCTTTATTCCTCAAACTAAAAAGAAGAAATGCAATAATATTTAACTTGTCTCATAAATTGGTAAAACTATTTGCATGATTCGGGGTAAAAAAGATGAAATGTGGTTTTATAAATACGTATTTAATAATGTCCATAATTATTTATGGTAACGAAGGAAGTTGTATAAATATGCATCAGATTGGGGTTTTGATTGAAGATAAAGAGTTTACTGAATCAACAATGAACGACGAACCTTGGAGTGCTGTGAAATTTGCTAATAACCTTCGACTTTCTCTATGGTCTGAACATCTTGGTCTTCATGGCGATGAGGTAACCTAATCACCATTTTACCAACTTAAAAGCTCCCCGCCCCGTTTGTTACACTTACACACAACATAACATGTTGTAATGTGTTTGACATTAACTGGGCCCCACCCAGAACGGGTAGGTAACCCGCATTTGCTTATTTTCTTAAATTTTTTTTTCTTTCAGATTAGTTAGATTAGAGACCCGATAGCTGATGTGACATACAAAGATTTATGGCTGGCAACTGCAATGGTATAAATAAAATACATGCCAACATAAAAGCACAACCATTTATGTATATATATTCTTCAAACTTTATTAAGTAATATATATTGTTACTTACTGTGTTTGACAGGCAAATGCCCAGATTTACCAGGATGTGTTTTCTTGCATCCAAATTGACATCGGATTCTACATGCCAATGATTCTTGGAACTTACAAGATATGTGCTTTTATTTGATGGAAGGAGTATCTCACCATGCCCCTTTGAGGTGACTACTTATAATAGAAGTTTAATTAGGACATTTGGATATTTAAATAGAAATTGAATATGTGTCCCTTTTTGTCCATATGACCTATTATAATTTTTTTGTTCTTCAGGGGAGTACTTTCTTATAGCGTATGGTCTTGATGTCTCTGTTTGGGAGGATGAATCCATAGCTTTTAGTGCTCTGGATTATAATAACGCATTTGCGTCCGTAATACCTAACTTTCAACCACAACCAATGCCACAATTTACCCAAAATACACCCGACCCAACCAACGAGCCCGAGGAAAACGAGAACAATGAAGATTTTGATTAATCTTTTTGTTATTTTGAACACGAAGACTTGTTTTTTTTTTTTTTGTTATTTTTCTATGTAGTAGATTTTGAAGTGTAATGATTATAAAATGTTTGATATTATTCTGCATATACACTGCATATGTATTGGGTTTGTTTTAAAAAACAGGTTTAGTGTTAACCTAAATGAAGTATATGCAGAGAACAGGAACACAAAAGTACCTTACACAAAGGTTGTGTGTTTTATATTCTTAAAGAAGTAAAGTACAGAACATTGAAAACTAGATACCATGAGGCTTACATAGAAACGGAAACTGCAAAAAGTAGCCGACTCACTAACATCTACTTGAGAACATAAAGGAAACCTACCCATTACTTGAAAGACAAAGTCAAATGACTAAAACTTGGAAAGAACCAAAAAGGGCATAAAAGTAAAAAGGATAGAAATGTGAAAAGAGATCAATGCATGTGACCAGGTGTTGTACTTTAACATTCCCTCTCAACACCTGCTTCAGTCATTCCAATTTTCTCACAAAATTCAATCATCTTCTTGATTGGCAATCCTTCGTCAGAAAATCTTCAACCTGGTTTGAGGTTTTAATGTACTGCGAGTCAATATCCCCCTTTAGAACCTTCTCTCTAATGAAGTGATAGTGAACTTCTACATGTTTTGTCCTGGCATGAAATGTAGGATTCTCGGCCAGCCGAATTGACGAAAGGTTGTCACAAAACATTGGAATGCTGTATTCAACTTTTTGATTTAAATCTTTCAAAAGTTGTACAAGCCATACACTTTCTTGGAAAAATATTAGAAAAAATCTTATACCGACGACATGTCGTCGGTATAGCCCCCATGTCCCGATGACATGTCGTCGGTATAGATTTATAATAAAACTTTTTTTACCTCGAAAATCTTTCCCGACGATCCTTTATAGACGACAAGTTGTCGACATAGATGGATCTGTACCGACGGCATTTTTGACTTTTACCGACGGAGCTATACCGACGACTTTGTACACTCGACAAGTCGCCGGTATAGGTTTTACCGACGACATGTCGTCGGCATAGGTGTTGAAAAAGTTGTCGGTATAGGCCTCGTTCCTTCGGTATAGGTGTTGACAAAGTCATAGGTGTTGACAATTCGTCGGTATAGGTTTTAACTATAATTTACCTACACAGTATACAAACATAATTACATACCTACGGCAATTACAAATCGTCGGCAAAGAGGGCAAGAGGCTACTACAATTGAATTTATCGACACTGTCATATACCGACTTCAATTTCAAGAAAAGGTAATATCCAATTCTTCTTAGTTAATATATATTTAAGGTTTTTAAAACTTGTGGTTAATATTTTTGTTGAACAATATAATTTGCATTTAATGATAATATTTAGATTGACTTTTTAATTCTTATAATCATAAGGTAAACCATCAACAAGAAAATAATCATTGATCATTTTTCAAACAAAAAAAGATGTTCATGACCTACAACCGCATCTTGTTAATGATAATATTAGTATAGATGTTCATAATACATGCCCATAACCTCAAAAAAAGTAATATGTAAATGTCAATTAATGTTTAATTTAAAAAAATGATATTTCAAATTTATAAAAGGTAAATTTAGATTCTTTTATCCGTGATCCCATACCAACTTTATAAATCAAAGTATACTTTTACCATGATAAGATTTAATAGATCGAAAAATGTGAATTGTAGTAAAAAAATTAATATATATAAAGCTATAAGCCTCCTTTATCCAAAAATCTTAGCTCCGCTAGTCGCCATGTATTTGCTTGGTAATATTCTTCATCATTCCTCTGGCCTTTTCTCCATGCCCCTTTTTAGTGTCCTTGCTCTTCATCATTTCTTTGGCGGTAGAACACTAACACCACCACAATCACCATCGGTAACCAAACTCCTCCTTTGCTATCGGGCGAAGACCACCACCACTACCCACTAGGTAAGTAATGCTATTCTTTCTTCATGGATTTTTCTCCAAAGCTAGCCATGAATTTCATGCTACTGATCTCGTTTAGATGTCTAGAATGAATCCTTTATGATTACGATTTCATGTTGATATGTGTTTAGAATGAATCCTTTATACTTCCAATTTCGTGTTAGAACTAGTAAAAGACATCCTCTATGCTTCTGATTTTTGGATTGTTTCTGATTTTTAGGAATTTTCTGAATTTTGAGTTTGTTTCATAATTATGCTTATAATTTTTGTGTGTAGCTTATACTTAAAGAAACAACCCCATATTGGATCATGTGATCTTTTTATGCTTTCTTAATGCGTGCAAATATATCCCCGTATTGGATGTGTCTCATCTTTGTATGCTTAGAATCGAAGAAACAACCCCATATTGAAACGTCTAAGAGAGGCGTTGAAGTATTTGAGGAAGCGTATGATTAAAACAATTTATTTGTAATCACATTTGACTCGTTGTTATAGACAACTTTATATAGTATTCTTGTTGTGATAGAAAACTTTCACTAGTTTCCTTTCATGTAGTTTAGTCTCAACTTAATATTAAAATAATAACATCATAAACATTTCCAAATACCATATATCATTTAATTCTTGTAACTCACACTTTCTTTATTTTTAACCATATTACTTCATTTTTGTAATTTACTTAAAATCTTTTAACAATGTAACGATTATGTTATTATTGTCATTCTATCATCATTCCTGTCTTATTCCAATAGTTTGTATACTTTGTAAAGGCATAATTGTTATTTTTGGCAAATCGTCCCAAAGTGGACTAATTAGTAGTCTTTTCCAAAAAGTGTCATTTTCATACTCATTTATGCTTTACCAATTGTTATTTTACTTCGATACATCACATAAATGGTTTCTACATAAATTAAATACACCATTTAAACAAACTTTTATTTTGATATTTTTCTTATTTAGGCATCCTACTCATTATAAGGTAATTTCATGTATTTTAGAATGCCTTTCATGTAAATTTCAGGATAAAATTTGTTTATAAGTATGTACCAATGCTTATACACATGAAAACATTATGAGATTCTATACTTTATGCTCATTAGCATAATCCATTTTCAACAAAATTATTAGGAACATAAACAATTTCTCTAACATACCATTTTCCATATAGTTTGTTATCAATATGCTTCCAACATTATTTTAAACTCATTTCCATACTAAAATATCTACTTTACTTATGTGATTTAAGTTTTTATCGTTCTTTCTATCACATACTTCCATATTGAAATACCATGTTAAGGTTTGACCAATAGAAAAGTCAAATATTTCTATTTTGAACTAATTATCTACTTTTAATTGGTTCTATTTTGAACATAAACTTAACTAGAAGGGATTCATGCATTGCGTGGGGTGGAAGGCGTTCATTTTGTGTGTATGTTTATCTATTTCATACATTATTGTTATCTGGAGTAAATTGCCTGAATTGGTATCCACAGTAAAGTACGTTGATATTCTGTGTAATTTGCCAGTTGATATTCTGTGTAATTTACAATCAATTGGATGAATCCATTGTCCTTAATGCCTGCGAAAAAAACATCAATATCACTATTAATGTATTTGAATAGATTTTCAAAATGGATGAAAATTCAAAATTAACTTGCAAAATAAGTCAATTTATCTTCCAGATTCAAAAGTTGGCTAAACCTAGTTAATAAAATACCAAAAATAATGTTTT